TTCTGTGAATTTCTATTTTAATTATTCCTTGAATTAATGTCATTCATGTCCTCATTTTCATGGTATTTTACGAATTTTATGTTCTCTTCATTGATGTCGCTATTCAGTGTCAGGTCAGCAAGAAATTGAATCTCTTATAATGTATCTTATTAATTGTACTATCAAATAATCCAACAACCTATCATTGTACCTAATTGAACAATATCCCTTTTCTCTCCCTTGATGAATTACTAATTGCCTTTGACATAATAACATTATTATTTTTTGTGGGGGGGGGAGCAATTTGCTTTGCCTGTGTTTCTAGGGACCGACCTGGGGCATTCATTGCAAATGCTAATGAACTCTGCCACTGAGTTCTGGGCTTCTTGGTGTTAGGGTGCCTGAACACGGAGAGATCTGGTGCTTAATAAAAGGAATCCCACACTAGCTCAGAACTAAGAAATATACAGATATTTATTAATAGATAAAACTTACAAATCAGGATTCTCTGCGTGAATGATGGATAAAGATAAGATCCAAACAAACTGAACCAGCAAAACTAGGGTCCAGGGGGAAAGGCAGAGAGGAAGAGAGCAGGACGCGCTTCTGCATCCAGGTAAATAGTCTATGAGGTCACACCCCAGTAGGCGGGTAGTTGTCAGCTATACACCTTTCTGCAACAAATGTCTATTGATTTTATTACACCTTTTTATTGTTTTTAGTGTGCATTTCATCAATGTGATTTTTGTATTTTTGATTTTTTTTTGAGATGACCCTTGCTGTGTATCTTAGGCTGGCCTTGAATTGGTAATCCTGCAGCCTCAGCTTCCTGGATGCTGAGATTTCAGGTATGCACTCCCTCTCCTAGCTCATGGCTCTTTAATAGTTAAAATGTAAAATTTTACTCAGATGGCTATAATTCCTCATTTGTCTTATCAAGACATGCTAACACCTCTTTGGATGTTGGAGGGAGCTAGGAAACAGCTGGATGAAGACCTTAATTTAGCCCATGCTTTGAACCAGAGAAACCTTGTCAGTGTTGAGGTGTGGTGGGCAGATCAAGCAAGGACAGGTGGGGTCAGATGAATGTTGTAGACCGCAGATAGATGACGGCAATCACTTGGGCTGGAATTGCTACAATCTCATTAAATTGACCCAAGGGGATAGAGTGACGGATGAGAAACCAAGAGGAAGTTGACCAGACCTGAGTAGGCTCAAGGTGGAGTCTCCTTAGAAACAGTGATCAACACTGTCATCTTTCCTTTGTGGCTTTTGGCATTTCTATCAAAAGCTAGATGAGTGTAGCTGTATGGGTTTACTTCTGGTCCCTGTCTTCTAGGCCATGGGTAAATATGTCTGTTTTCCTTCTTGTACCACACTATCTTTGCACCTATGGCTCTACAGCAAAGTTTGAGGTCAGGAATTGTGATACCTTGGTATTGATGTTTTGCTTGGGGTTTCTATTTGGGGTCTTTATGTAGATTCTACTATAGAGATATTTGCACACCCACGTTTGTTGCTGCATTATTCACAATAGCTAAGAATGGAACTAACCCAGAGGCCCACTAAGAGATGATTTAAAACAATGGTATGTATTCGCAATGAAATATTGTTCAGGTATAAAGAAGTGAATCATGGCATTTACAGAAGAGTGGATGGGCCCAGAAAATATTATGCTAAGTAACTCAGACAAACACTGTGAATCTTTTTTTTATATATATAGATCAAATATATATCTTGGTCACAAATATATATGTGTGTGTGTGTGTGTGTAGTTGTGAAACTAGAAAAGAGACCATCTGTGGTTCCTATTTGCCTGTGGTTAGGTCTCAGTGGCTGTTTATTGTCCATCTGCCATTTCGTGTTTTGAAAACTTCCTGTTCAGTTCATTAGCCCATTTATTGATTGGGTTGCTTGAATTTCTTGTTGTTTGGTTTTCTGAATTCTTCACATAGTCCAGATGCTGACCCTCTATCAGATATACAGCTAGCAAAAACTTTGACCCCGCTCTCTAGTCTGTCCCTCTACTCCATTGTTCCCTTTGCTCTGCGGAAGCTTTCGAGTTTCCTGAGCTCTCATTTTTCATTGCTATCTGTTAATTAAGCTGTTGATTTTGTTGTTGTACCTGAAATAGCAAAAGTCCTGGTCACAGCATACAGGAAGTACATAAGGTGCAAAAGGTTCTTAAACCTGTATTTAATTTGGTATTCCTTATGGTTTGGGGCCTCTTGGGATGTTCTCCCCCAGGATCACAGGGTAGTCATGGGACTCACATTGTACCAGTCTGGAAGACTATCCTGCTCAGGCGTGAATGTACAATGAGAGCTTTTCTATCTTTTATTCGCACCCTTCAATAATTCTGTATTTTTAAATTGGCTCATGTAGAGTGGCCAAGTTAATTAAAACTGACAGGGAGATTAGGGAGGATAAACCCTTGAACAATAGCATGCCATTGTCACTATGGGGTCCATAAGGAGTCTCTCCACAACTGGGGAAAACAAGCCTTCCCCCAATCTCCAAGGGTGGAGCCATGTGTCATGATTACTATTAGTTAGAATAAAATTAAAATGACAACAACACATTGGCTTCTCAACAGGCTAGAAGTCTGCTACAGAAGACCTAAGGAGACTGCCAAGAGCCCCTCCCCGGGTGAGAATGTAATAGCACAGTGCTAGGAGTTGAAAACGAAGAAAGCGAGCAAGGAACAGCCCTCTTCGACCTGCGGTGTTTGTCATTTCAACTCTTAGCCAGGATTCTCTATTGCATGTGATAAAAACAATCCTTCCCCAAATAGCTTAGGCAGAAGGAATTTAATATGTATGAGATAGCCCTGGCAGGAGGGGCCATTTGTCTCAAGGCTGTCACCATTAACCTCCTTCTATCTACCTGTCCATGATGACTTGGTCCTGGTTCTGTGCTCATAGCTTCTCCCTGGTCATGGTGATTGCATAGCTCCAGGCTGATAGAACATTATTTCCAGACTAGATTAACATTTAAGCAAAAGGAGATCCACCCTCACTAGTATGGAGTGTGGGCAAACATCCTCTAATCCATTAAGAAAGTCCATGGAACAAAGGTATAGGACAGCTTGGTCACTGTGACGGCTCTTCTTGCTGTCCTTCAATGTTGACATGCCTGGAAAGAAAGGACCTCAGTTAAAGAATTGCCTTTATCAGAACTGCAGCCATGTCTGCAAAGATATTTTCTTGATTGCTATTGATTTAGAAAGGTCCAGCCCACTGTGGGCAGTGTTATCGCTGGGTAGATGGGCCTGGGCTATATAAAAAAGGTAGCTGGACTTGAGCCAGAAAGCAAGCTGGTGAGCAGCCTTCCTCTGTGGTCTCTGTTTCAGTTCCTGCCTCTGGGTTCCTGCCTTGGGTTTGTGCCTTGGCTGCCCTTGATGATGGACTGTAGCCTGTAAGGCAAATGAACCCTTTCCTCCCCGAGTTGCTTTTGGGCAAGATGTTTATCACAGCAACAGAAAGCAAACTAGAACACTCACCATCTTCTCATTTTGTATTGTTTCTATCTGAGACAGGGTCCCAGGTATCCGGGGCTGAATAGCCTCAGATGACCTTGGTTTCTGATCCCCTTCTCTCTTCCTCCTGAGGGCTGGGATCACAGGTATAGATACACTTTTATGCCCTCTACACCACTAATGAGAGTGAAACTCGGGGCACATGCATGGTAGGTGAATACTCTACCAACTGAGCGTTCTCTGTGTTCTTGGGCTGGAACGCTTGTCTCCTCTTGCCTTTGGAGATTGGAGTTTTTAGTCCCTAAGACTTCTCAGTCTGGAATTTACATAAGCAACCTCCTCTCTTTGGCCTCAGATTGAATTACACCACTGGCTCTTCTGGTTCTCCAGCTTTCAGACAGCAGATGGTGGGATGTGTCAGCTTCGTAATTGCATGAGCCAATGCCCATGATCAATCTCTGTCTTTCATGCACACACACATGCACACACACACACTCATGCACACACACACACACACACACACACACACACACACTATTGTTAGATGATATCTTCTACCATATTATCACACAGCAAGAAAGGTCTCACGGTTGTGGTCTCCTTACCTGGGACTCTCAACTTCCAGAATCACGAGCCAAATTAACTTCTTTGCTCAGAACTTGGTCTGTGTGTGCTATTCCTTTATACCATCAGAAAACTAAGACACCATTCTATAGTGGCATTTCGATTGTATTTTAATAAATAAAGACTGCCTGAAGATCTGAGAGTAAAACAGCCCCACTGGTCAGCCTTACAGACCAGGTTATGGTAACACACACTTTTAATCCCAGACTAGCTGCCATAGAAACCAGGCGGTGCATGCTTTTAATCCCAGTGTAGCATGCCTTTAATCCCAGTCCTAGAGAGGAATATAAGACAGGAGGAGATAGCTCTCAGACTCATTCTGAGGTTTTCTGGAGGCAGCATCTCCATTTTCCGACTGAGATCAAAGTAAGAGTCAGTGGCTGGCTGCTCTGCTTTTCAGGTCTTCAGGACCCCGATTCCTTTCTCTGAGCATTTTTTTAGTAGTGCTTCACCATTCCTGCAGATCTTTCTGGTTCCTCTCACTCTAATTCCATTCTCTTTGTTTACCTAAGCTACTACTCTAGCTCGGTTGGACCAAACAACTGTAGAAATGATAGAAACGGAAAGCCGCACTGTCTCCTGGCTTTCCCCGAGATGCCCGCAGCTGCCACACGCCTCTGCCAGGGCAGCCTGTTTGTGAGAGTGGCCTCACAGCTGTCACAGCAAGAGGAAACTTGGCTATTAGGACCCAATTGAGAGATAATTAATCAAGAGGAGCTCTGGCTGAAGCCTGCCCAGTACTCATGTGAAAAAAAGTCTTCAATAGTTGTTAAAACTCTTCCAGAACTATGACACCCTGCAGGCGAATAAAGAGTTATATTCATTCCTTTCCCAGGAATAGGAGGCAAAAAACACTTTTTTTCCTGATTTTTAGAAATTACCAAATTAAATGGCCTAAAGTTTTCTTATTATCCCACAGAAGTGTGAACACGGCAAGGCTCCTGGTTGATGGTCGTCAGCAGATGTATGTGGCTCCCGTGCCTTCGTCAGGGACTGGAAGGGAAGAGAAGATTGAGAGGTCTGCTAGTTTGGGGGTGGGCACATGTTAAAACTGGGACATCTGATGAGCCATCAGGTGTCCACAAGGAGGCAAGGATCCTTTGAATGCTACATGCTGCTGTGCTCCTGAGAGTCCAGGGTGTCCCTGAACCTTTATGCCTCCTCATGCATGCTTCAACAGCACTTGTACACTAATGATCAAACTCCAAACATAGTCAAATGTGATGATGGACACTCATAATCCCAGCATTGGGGAGGCTGACATTATTTAAAATAATGGTATGGCGTGATTTAGACAGTCATGCTCTGTCTGGATAAGCGAGGGAGGAGTTCAGCATGTTGTAACACTCTTAAAGAAATGAAAATGTAAAAATATTTATTTATCAAAAACTCAGGTTATTTGAAGTAATTCATTGGCCATAAATTATCTGAGCAAAGGATGAAGTCATTCAGTCCCCCAGAAGACCACACTTGAAGTCTGCTGATCCAGAGAGAAAAGAACACACAGGGGAAATCCAATACTCTTTTCTGACTTCAAGAACGCCTGCCCTCACATAACATTAAAAACAATAAAAAAATCTCGAAAATTAGCAAAATATATGAAAGAGGAAGGGAAAAAAATCAAGCATCTGTCTTAGTTAGGTTTCTATTGCTGTAAAGAGACACCATGACCATGGCAACTCTTAGAAGGAAAACATTTAACTGAGGGGTCTCGCCTACAGTTTCAGAGGTTCAGTCCATTATCATCGTGGCGGAGAGCATGGCACATGCAGGCAGACGTGGTGCTGGAGGGACAGCTGAGAGTCCTACATCTTACAAGCAACAGGAAGTCAACTGAAAGTCACACTGAGGGAAGCTTGAGCAAAAGAGACCTCGAAGCCTGCACCCACAGTGATACACTCCCCCCAACAAGGCCACACCTTCTAATAGTGACAATCCTGGGGAGGGGAGGGCATTTTTTCAAACCAATGCAGCCTTTTTTTTTCATTATTTCCATCTCTCTGTTCTTGTCTCTTCAGGGGACTGGTGATAATCATGCATTTTGTCTCGTTGTACCTTTCCCCAAGTTATCTAGAGCATTTTATTTGATTTATGAAAACAAAATTGGGATCACACTAAAGGTGTGGTGTAAATGAGAATACCCCACATTGACCCAGGTAGCTGAGGGTCCGTAGGCCTGCTCCACTTCCAACTGACCCTTCTGCTTCTTGTTTGCAGCTGAAGATGTGATCTCTGGCTCTCTGCTCCTGCTGTCAGCATCCCTGTCATGATGGACTCTTATGCCCTGGAAACATAGTTCAAAAAAAAAAAATCATCCTTTTTCCTTGTGTTCAGTGGTTCTCAACCCTCTTAATGCTGCTAGCCTTTAATACAGTTCTTCATGTTGTGGTGATCCCCAACCATAAAATGATTTTTGTTGCTACTTCACAACTGTAATTTTGCTACTGTTAAGAATCATAATGTAAATAACTGATATGTGACCTCTAAGCGGTCATGACCCACAGGTTCAGAACCGCTGCTTCTGTTAATTTTGTTTTGGGTTGTGGTATTTTACCACAGCAGAAAAGTAGCCAGTACGCTATGCATCAGTCTTTGCAACTTGTTTTCTGACGTAATGAGTTGCTATGAATATGCCTTTAGATAAAATAGGTGTTTACTCTTTTGAATAGCTTCATAAGGCCATATGATATAGATATTCTCAAATTTACTTAATCTTTACATGGGCAGTTTTTGGACATCTTCAGGTTTTTAGCCACTAAAATTAATAAATCTTATAAGCTGTCACTCAAAACCAGAACATCTGTTTCTAGAGGACAAATTCCTGGGGTTGGTCACTAAGACAAAGTTGTGGTGACTCTGGTCAGCCCAGTTTTCAAAACAGAGTTTAGCAATTCCTGTTCTGTTTAGCAACGCCTATCCCTGTGAACACTGGGGAGTGCTGGCTTCTCATCCTTTCCAGAGCAACAGGTTGTTTGCTCAGTTAGTTTTGTCTTGTTTTGCTTTGAGTATGTCTCACCACACAGCCCAGGATGGCCTTGAACTCATATCCTTGTGTCATACCCTTCCAAATACTGAGACTTCAGGCATAGGCTACCACACCATTCAAAATAGGTATGTATTATACATTCTTAGGTAGAGTCTCACTGTGTAGCCCAAGCTGGCCTGGGACTTACTATGTAGACTAGGTTTTAGTCTCTAACTTGTAGAGATCTGTCTGCCTCTGCCCTCCAAGGGCTGGCTTAAAGTCATATGCTAACACACCTGGCCCAGATTTTTAGTTAGAAAAAAATGTCTTTTTTTTTGCCAATATGAGGGGGGTGAGAAAAATACTCCTTTGAATCTGCCTTGGGATTTTTTTCACATGCTAATAGGTCATTTGAATTTCTCTCAAATGATTTGCTTTTTCTGTTGGATTGAGTGGGATTATCAGTCATTGTGTATTATGAATGTATTTCCCAGTTATCATCTGCATTTTCCTTTATCACTCTCTCTCATAAAAAGATATTTAAAATTACTCAAGTAATATTGCTTTCAACTGAAATTTGTGAAATATAATAAACACAAAGAAGAAAATAAAAACCACTCATGGCCATACCATTTGTGGTGGTTTGAAAGAAAATGACCCCCCCAAAGGGAATGGCACTATTAGGACATGTGGCCTTGTTGGAGTAGGCAGCTCTGTTGAAGGAAGTGTGTCACTGTGGAGGCGGGCTTTGAGAGCTCATTTATGCTCAAGCCTTGTCCAGTGAGACAGACCACTTCCTGTTGCCTGCACAAGACATAGAACTCTCAGCTGCCTCTCCAGCACCGCGTCTGCCTACACACTGCCATGTCTCCCCATGACAATTATGGACTGAACCTCTGAGCTGTAAGCAAGCACAAATTAAATGCTTTTCTTTATAAGAGTCACTGTGGTCATAGTGTCTCTTCACAGCAATAAAAACCCTAACTGAGATACCACTCCTAGACAAACACCCATATGTGAAGTTTTTATACTGGGGGATCTTCATCTCCTGCCTTCCACACATACTTCATTCTTTGTTTTAAAACATCCCCACTGGAGGACAGAACTCTGAAATACTGATGAGAAAATAAAGGGAAACTTGAAGGTGGATTCTCTTTATAGAGTCATAAGGCTTTTCAAAAGATACAACAGATGGAGGAACTGTAGGTAGTGCTTACTGGTCAGGAGGGAGCTTCTAGTTCATATTGCAATGATTCTAAAAGGCCATTTCCCCCTCATATTCACTTCTGGAATGAGAAAGCCCCCTGCCTCGGATTGAACCCAGGCTCTGGCTGAGGTGCATCTCTTAGGAAGTTTCTTACAAGTCATGGTGTCTCATAAGCACTGTTGATCAGACAGCAATCATGTTGTGCTCTGTGTTATTCACACTTAAGTGAACTCCTGCCAAGACTTCTCTGTATCTACACCTCACTTGGGCTATGCTCACTGTTGGTAATACAAGTACTAGATTTAGCTGTGCTTTGAAATGTCTTCTGAAAGGTCAAACTGTGTTGATTTTATTTGAAATCAGGAGGCAGAAGCAGGTGGATCTCTATGAGTTCAAGGCTAACCTCCTGTCAATACCAAGTTCCAGACCAGCAGAGAAGAAAGAAGGAATCTGCCATTGACGGGGCTAAGAGAAGGTAATCAAATTTTAACATACATTCAGCCATGTAGGAGCCAACACGACAGATGAGGATGTTCAGAGTCAGTGGGTATCTAAGCAAGGTCCCCTCAGGCCTTCACTGAGGCCTGAGACTGCTTAGGGAAAGCTGGAGGCAAAGCAAGAGACTGAAGAGAAATCCACACCCTGCTCTGCCTCCTGCCCAGCAAGACTCTTCCAAGTGATATGCATTAGTATGGTATTTCTACCATGACACAAGTGTATGTCCTAGAATTCATGGGTTGTCCTGCTCTCTCTGAGACTGGGGTTTGAGTCATTAGGTAATTTTGAAATTAACCATTCTATCTCAACTCTTTAATAAGGGAGAAGATAGTGATTTCCTCTTCTTTGTTGGCATATTCTTTTCTATTTTTAGATATTTTGCTAATAGAAAGTCAGCTCTCAGAAACTCTTTCCAGTGAAATTACTGTTTGGGTCACACCTCAGGCTTTGCAATAGTTTAGACACAGTAACAATTTATTTACCAGCCTGGATGTGGCCCATGTCTTTAATCCCAGCACTCAGGAGGCAGAGGCAGGTGGATCTCTACGACTTCATGGCAGCCAGGTGTTCCTAGCAGTTCCAGACCAGCCAAAGCTATAAAGCAAGACCTTGTCTTGAAAACAAACAAGAAACAATTCAATTCCTATTTTATTTAGATAAAAAAAGTCTTAGTTAAGGATACTCCTCCATGGTACTGACCTTAAATCTGTCCACCTTGTTGTGTGACCTTGGGTTTGTGCTCCTGTGTAGGGAATTTACATCCCATGGAAGAGGATAGAAGAGGTATAGAGTGTCTGGTAAAGGATGAGGATGGGTGTGCCAATTATGTCTTAAGGAAGATTCTAAAAGTCTGCTCAAATGCCTGTACTCACTCGATCCACAATAATTTCTCCATATGGCTACAGGAGAGCACAGCTATTCCTGTAGATAGGCAGCTACACGTCAGTTCAAAGTTGAGGGTTCTGCTGCCATAGAGGAAAGAGAAAATATATTTAGGAGACATTTTGAATTCTTGCTCACCACTTGGCTTTTTGGTCACAAACATTACAGATTTCCAGTTTAGTCTTTGACCTTTGGAACCATTATGGGAAGAGAAAACTTAATGTATCTTTAATCTTGCATTCCAATAACTGCTCCCTTTTCTCATTAGGCAGATGGGTCTGTAGAGCCAGGGCCGTGATATGCTCAGACAAAGAAGAAACTAAAAACCGTTCCTGGGGCTGGGGAAATGGCTCAGTTGTTTAAGTGCTTGCTGTAGAAGCACGGGGCCCGAGTTTAGATGCTCAGCACCCATGTGAAAACAGGCATGAGGCATTCCTGCAGCCCTAGCTCTGAGGAACAGACACAGGCTTGCTGGCCCTCCAGTCTCACTAATTAGTGAGTTCCAGCTTTTTAAGAGATAAGGCATTGAACGACCAAGAAGACATTTTAAATTGACTTCTGACCTCCACATGTGCCTGCCTGTGCATAAGCACATATACACAAATGTGCACTCATGTAACACACAGACAGACAGACAGACAGACAGACAGACACACACACACACACCATGTCACTAAGGAGCAGTGGATAAAAACGGAGAATAACTCATCTAAAAGAAAGGAATGATGGTGACCCAGTTTTCATAGATTCAATGACTTATCTTGTGAAGAATCTAGATGGCCAGCACTCAGGAGGCAGAAGCAGGCGAATCCCTGTGAGTTCGAGGCCAGCCTGGTCTACAAGAGCTAGTTCCAGGACAGGCACCAAAAACTACAGAGAAACCCTGTCTCGAAAAATCAAAAAAAAAAAAAAAAGAAAGAAAAAAAGAAAAAAAGAATCTAGATGGACCAGAGGGAGAATCTGACCAGTGGGTGAAGTTCCCAGAGAGAGTAACCTGTGTTGAACACACAGAGGGCAATTCTACTAGTAAGAGCTGTCTTAGAAGTGACCGAGCATACATTTCTGCCGGAGACAG